ACCTCCAACTTTGTTCTTTCTGAAGATTGCTTTGGCTATTCAGGGATTTTTGTGATTCATATAAATTTTTGGATTACTCTAGTCCTGTGGGAAAATGTCTTTGGTATTTGATGAGTATTTCATTGAATCTGTGGACTGCTTTGGGAATTTTAATTACATGTTAATTCTTTTCACCCATGAGCATGGTGTATCCTTTCATTTATCTGTGTCTCCTTCAATTCCTATACTCAATGTCTTATCATTTCTAAGTACATATATGTTACCTCATTATTAAATTTATTTCTAGGTATTTTATTCTTTTAAAAAAATTTAATGATTTTTATTATTTTTAGAGAGAGGGAAGGGAGGTAGAGAGGGAGAGAAACATGAATGTGTGGTTGCCTCTCATGCAACCCCCAATGGGGACCTGGCCCACAACCCAGGCATGTGCCCTGACTGGGAATCGAACTGGTGAACCTTTCAGTTCGCAGGCCGGTGCTCAACCCATTGAGCCATAACAGCCAGGGCTATTTTATTCTTTTGATGCACTTATAAATGGAATCGTTTTGTCTTTTCTGAGTTTATTTGTATATTAAATTGCAACTGATTTCTGAATATTAATTTTGTATTGTTACTTTACTGAGTTTATTTACCAGTTACACTAGTTTTTGGTGAACTCTTTAGGGTTCATCTGCAAACAATAAGTTTTATTTTTCCCATTCCAATTTGGATGCCTTTTCTTTATCTCATGATTGCTATGGCTTGGACTTCCATTATTATGTTGAATAAAAGTGGTTTATCATGTTAATTGATTTGCAGATATTGAACCTATCTTGCATTCTAAGAAAAATCTCACTTAATCCTGGTGTATGATCTTTTTAATGTATTGATAAATTTGGTTTGCTATTTATTAAAGATTTTTGCATCTATGTTCATCGAGGATATTGGCCTATAATTTTATTTTATTTTATTTTTGTAGTGTCTTTGTCTGGTTTTGGTATCAGGGCAATGCTGACTTTGCTTGGGTATTCCTAGGTGACTAAGCAACTTTGTGGGGATGCCTGAGGAAAAATGGCCTGCAGGGTGTGAAACAGTTCTAGAGGGGTACCCACCACGTGTAGCTCATCTGGAGACGCGCATACAATGGCTGGTTTTCCCCGGATGTTTATTCGGACTACAGATCTCAAAGTAAAGACAGGAAATCATGCCTCTGAGGCCACCAAGCCCCATGAAGAATCAACCTCCCATTAATACCAAGATGGCCAAAATGAAGATCTTTTGATACTTCTAAGTTAGTTTTTGTGTGCACAATTAGAAAGTGCTAACTATAAAATTCGGCAGCATGAATGGAAAATGTATTTAATTAGTCTCTTGAAGTTTCAAAGGAAATTTAAATAAATAGATCAACCTATGATGTTTAGATATCAACCTAACTTTTGAGGTATTATATTTGCCCTTATTTATTGTTTAAAATAATTTTATTTATTTTTAGATTTTATTTATCAGGGGAGGGGAAGGGAGAAAAATATCAATGTATGGTTGCTTCTCATGCGTCCCCTGCTGGGAACTGGCCTGCAACCCAGGCATGTGCCCTGACTGGGAATCGAATATCAATCCTTTGGTTCACAGGCCCACACTCAATCCACTGAGCTACACCAGCCAGTGTATGTCCTTATTTTAAAAGAGGGAAGGTCATTTGGAACTTGACTTGTCAAGAACATAAATTATAAAATGTCTTCCAAACACAATTTGGATCCAACTGTTCTCTTTGTGTCTATGTTTATATATGCATGTTGTAAATGAAATAATTTTCTACCTCCAGATGATATTGCTAAAATTAAAGGCAAGCACTTGTAAGAATTAAGTATTCTAAAATATGGAAATTAATACAAATGCTTTTTCAAGTTTAAATGACCTAAAATTAATCTTTAGTAAATACAAGTTAAATTTTTGGTTTAAGTAGAACAGATAATGTCTTTTAAGTCATTAACATTAAATATTTTACCTGTTTTACAAAAATAAGCCCATGTTAATAATTGACTTTGATGTCTCTGAAATGTTCCTATAGGTTATGAAATGTCCAATATAAAGGATGCAATAGCTTCTTAGTTTGCATTAGAAATTGAGGTTTTTAGGGTTATGATATCAATATATGTAGAAATAAGTTTGTGATATTCCAGAAGGACCTCTGAAACCTCTCCAAAGATGTCTTTTATGTTAATTTTATGGGGAGCACTGTAAACTGAGTGATAAAGCATATTGTGCAACAACGGTGGCGAGTTTGGCGATCAGGACTAAGACACTCAAGACAGCGGCCTGGTTCCTCCATGGACGCCTGGCTCGGCAGATTTCGGTTTTTGCATTCCTTCCTGCACCACAGTGCATTTCAGTTGCCTTAAATTAGAGGAAGGAATTTACGAGCTGAGATTATTAAAAGACATCTTACACCATTGGCAAGGTTTGATAGAACCGCTTTAAGGAAATGCCAAGTGGGTAATTAATCCCTTCCTTTCACAAAAAGCTCCCAGAAGACAAGGACTTTAGGTATTGGTTTTTGGAAAGAAAACCAGAGGCTCCGCCACCTCATTGGAAGGGACCTTATCAGATGTCTAACAGCAGCCAAGCACCCACCCTGGTCTCTGCCACTCAACGAGGCACCTCAAAGACAGTTTTAGGAGAGATGCCCCTCACATCAGAGGGACAGCCACCCCAGGCATCAGCAACGCCTGCACACCTATGGATCATTGTTGAACTTAAAATCAATTTTGTCTGATTGTCTTTTACCTTTTCAATATTGAAGCCAGGCCAAAGCGTAATCTCAAAACCAACCCTAACCCAAATATATAAAGTAATTTCATTCCTAAACCTAATTGAGCACTAATCCTAACATCACACCTAACCTTAACCCTGTACCTAACCCTAAACATAACCATAATCCTAACCTAAAATTTATACCTCATTCTAACACTACTGTGACCCTACGTATGCCTAGTGTATGACCTCAGACCTAACTCTAACCTAAACCTAAATACTAATCTTAAATACTATACATACATAACCTCAACCTGAACCCTAAACCTTTAGTTAGCTAGCCTCAACCTTAAACTTAACCTTAAACCTAAACCTCAGTGTATCTCCCTCTGTACCCAAAAGAGATTGACAATCTTAAGACTCATCATTGAAGGCCTTGATTTAAACCTACGTAACGGCACCTTTACTGTTTTGCTGGATAATCGGCCTGAACTGGCTCCCCTCCTCCCTCAACATCTTTGTTTTGTTTTCAGCACAAGATGATCTCTAAGGTGATGACTTGGGCTATTACAGGGAGCTACTCAGTTTCCCCTCTCATGTTTCCGTACGGGAGATATACATGTTATTAAACTTGTTTTTCTCCTGTTAATCTGTCTTTATTACAGGGGAGCCTCAGCCAAAACCCTAGAAGAATAGAGGGAAATCATTTCCGTTCCCTACTCAAGCAATGGAGCCCAAGTCAACAACAGAAAAGCATGCATGTCAACCTGTGGGAGAAAAACAGGTTCTGCCCAAAGAAACCTCCCAGGGAAACCTGATCACAAATTCCAAACTGTGAAGGTCACGGTGGGTGGTTGGGCCTCAGGCACACAACTTTTTTATTTGTATTATTTTTTAATCCTCCCCTGAGGACATATTTATTGATTTGAGAAAGGGAAAAACCAGCAACCTAGGTATGTGCCCTAACCAGGAATTGAACCTGCAACCTTTTGATGTACAGGACAATGCTCCAGCCCACTGAGCCACCCAGCCAGGGCACAAGTTTCCAGTAAGAGGTTTTCATCTTTGCCTGAAGCAAGCCCTGCCCATTGTTTTCGTGCATCCAGGTTAATACGCCTTTGGAATAAGCATCACTGACCTCGACAGAGCATGTAAGCATGTTAACTCTCCTGTAATCCAACCCCTGCCTTGCTTTCTCTCACCTATCACTTCGTCTTCCTTACCTTCTCTCTCGACTCCAGACGCAGAAGAGAAGCTGCAAAAGCGCTCCCAGGTGCAGCCGAGATCATAAGTAAACAAACCCACACGAAGCCCTGGAGGAATCTTACTGGTATAGTGCTAAGTAAAAGCATCCTGTACAAAGAGGCTATATACTGTATGGCCTCATTTTCGATGTTCTGGAAAAGGCAAAACTAGAGACAGTGAATCACGGTGTGCGGGGTTGAAGTGCTGCCCCGCAGGACACTTTGGTGATGGCATCTGCCATTGTGCACTTATGAAAACCCAGTTTTTCACAGCCCAAAGGGTAAATCATAATCTATTCATATTAAGTTATTTAGGATGTGGGAATATCACAGAATGGAATACAGAGCGTGTCAAAGAACGTGACTATATTAGAAATGCATGGGAAAAACCTCACTGTAGGTGGTAGAGGCAAACGCTACTGACCTATGTAGCTGAATACGAACAGAACCTCAGACTAAATCAACACGTACTGTACGTACACAGACTATTTTATAAAGTGATTTCCCTCGAGGGTTGTTTACAGCTCTGAAACCACTCTCTATATAATCCGGAGTGCAGCGATGAATGAAATCAGCGGTGGACGGTGGGACCAGGTCTCTCACTTGTCGGAGTGACAGGCTACAGAAGAGCACTGGGGGCAGGTGTCAGGGCCCGCTCGACAGACAACCGGGCTGGAGACAGCGGCAGGAGCTCATCTTTAGCTGAATGTGAACACAGGGAGCTCCCCGTAGAAACCCTTATAACCAGGTGTGCACACACAGGTCAGAACACACACTACGATTCCCTGCATGGTCAGCTGAGCACACTGAGGACCCGTGATGTTAAGTTTTCAATACCATTCTGTAGTAAAAGGAACCGGAGCCCTTGGAAGAGACGGCCGATTAAAGGCTTGGCTGTTCCTTTCGTTTGGCCTGCTGGCTTCACCAGCTACTCCAACACCTGAGCTCAGCTGAGCATCTGACCAGGGAGGACCGCCCCCGTCACTGTCCTCGGAATGGCTGGAAGAACGGAGGTGCTGACATTCGTTGAGCAAATGCCCTATTTTACTAAAAATCCACATATACATTACATTTTACAAAACAGCATTTATCCAGATCTCTTGGTCCCTTCCCTAACCCAGCAAAAGAAGGGGTACTGAGGGAGCTCTACTCGTAATGGAGGGTCCTCCATCTAAACACTAGGGCTACCCTGGCCAATCCCAGACCCCTTGTCCAGTGCACAGGAGGTTGGCTTCATAGAACCCCTCTGATGAACCAGCCGTGGCACCTGGAGCCAGTCCAAACCATCCCAGGTGAGGTCCTGCCAGGGACCTACCGACCCACACACAGCCCGAGGCCCAGCTGCAGGCACGCATGGGCCCGCCTGGGTGGCTTCCAGCCTCAGGAGTTGGAGACTGGGTACCCATAGTGGTTGCGGTCAGCCTCGCCCAGGGTCAGCGTCAGTGACAGGCTGGGCTTCCGTTCCAGCTCCTCCTCTTCCAGGCAGCGCTGTGGGGGCCGGGTTTTGAAGAAGTCAGAGATATAGCGAACCTGGGTGAGGAAAGGAGACAAAAGCTGGCTGGGCGGGAGTAGGGGTGGGACCCACGTGGGGGTGGGGGATGGGAGTCCTGGGAAGGAGGTGGGGGGTAAGGGGTGGTAGAACCCAGGAGGGGGTGGGTATTGTGGGAGGAGGCAGTGAGAAAAGCAGAACCTGGGATGGGAACACTGGGTGCTTAGGGAGAAAACAGGAGCAGGAGGACAAGGGACCTGGGAAAGGAAGAAAGGGGAAGAGGGTCCCGGGAGCTCACAGTGAGGCCGGCCACCAGGGCACCCTGCAGGAGGCCCACGAGGACATCACTCCAGTGGTGTTTGTGGTCAGATACACGGGTGTAGCCCACATAGAGGGCGAAGGCCACCAGGAAGAACTGCACGGTGGGCCGCAGCAGCCGTGCCCACTTCCAGCAGAGCCGCGCCTGCACATAGAGCTGGGGGCCAGAGGGCGGCCATGAGCCCAGGAGCCTGCCAGGCTCCCCCCGTGGCCAATGCACAGACGGTAGCTCTGAGGCCGACAGCACAGAACCAGGAGACCCATGGCCTCCAGTTTTTATGGACACACCACGCAGCCTGACCAGTCACCTCCTCCACCCACCCTGCTTTACAGATGCAGAAACTGAGGCCCAGTGAAGGGGCCACGGTCTCACACCAAGCGAGGAACAGAAAAACCAACTCACCGCCAAGAACATCATGCAGTACATCCCAAAGGAGGAGTGTCCGGAGTAGAAAGATAATCTAAGGAAGGAGAGGGCAGAAGCATCGGCAGGGCTGTGCAGCGGACAGAGCCCAGGAGCCCAGACCGGACAGTTCACTCAGCCTCTCCACCCTCACCACCCCCTGGTCCTAGGTTCCCAGCCCCCTTCCCACAACCTGAGGGAGCATTTTACATGGAAGCATGGCTGGCGTTACATATGAGAGCCCCAAAAGGGGAGGACAGAGGTCAGAAGATATGAAGGAGAAACTAAGACATTCCCAAAGAAACAAAGATCCCGGTAACTCGACGCTCACATGCCTGCCCTATGAGAAATGCTGACGGCAAGACATTAAGACAAAAAAAGTTAGGAGAGCCCTGGCTGGTGTGGCTCAGTGGATTGAGCGCCTGTCTGCGAACCAAAGGGTCGCCAGTTCGATTCTCAATCAGAGCACACGTGTGGGGCACAGGCCAGGACCCCAGTAAAGAGCGCAACAGAGGCAACCACATGTTGATGCTTCTCTCCCTCTAAAAATAAATAAATAAAATCTTTTTAAAAAATGTGAGGAGAAAGGACATTACATAGCGATAAAAAGGTCAATCAATCAAGAAGATACAACAATCACAAAGATATATGCACCTAACAAGGGAGCCCCAAAATACATGATGCAAAAATTAACAGAAGCTACAATACCGGTGTCCTTTAAGACATTAAAGCAAGAAAGGCCACAAAAGATATGATTCCATGTATATAAAATGTCCAAAATAGGTAAATCCATAGAGACAGAAAGGAGGTGGGTGGCTGCCCAGGGCTGGGCGGAGGGAGAGGCCAGGCGGGCACGGAGTCCTTTTCGGTGCGATGAACGTGTTCTGGAGTCGGGAGAGGGCTGCGCAGCATCGTGAACGCACTAAAGACTAATGGACTGTCCGCAGTAAAATGGCTAATGAGTGAATTTATGCTATGTGAACTTTATTTCGAGTTTTTAAAAAGACAAATAAGGAAGTCAATTAAGTGTAAACTTTATCAGTAGAGATGGTGAGAAGACAGAACAAAAGCGTGAGAGCAGCACCCGAAATTCAGGGGAAACGGGTCACCCCCCAAACACCGACTGCTCTGCCCCAGGGCCTGACACCTCCAGCCCCACCGCGCCCCCGTCTGTGGGACCCAGGGCCGCAGGCACCGCCCAGCCAACTCCCACCCTGTCCTCTGCCCACTGAGGTACCTCTTTACCCTGCTCCATCTGGCAATTCAGTCCTCAATATCTAGCTTCTGAGGGTCCGTCTCCAGCCCCCAGTCTCCCCCAGGAGTGGAAGTGTCTATGGCTCGGGATCCCCAGCATCACCCAGAGTGAAGGCTGCTAACCCAGCACCCACCTGGACTCCGTAACGTTGGCAGGGCTTCCCCTGCACACCTTCTCCACCTGCACATAGATGGAGCAGTTCACTCGGCTCCAATCAGGGTCACACACTGCCAGGAAGTTGGGCCGCAGCCGGCCGATCATGTACTTGGCCAGGTCTGTCAGGGACTGGCTCACGGCAGCCCCAAACAGGAATGTCCCCAGGACCTTGTAGACGGCAGCCACGTAGTTGTTGAAGTCGGAGCGGGAATAGAGGCGGTCCGTGTACACCAAGTAGGCCTCTCCAGCTGAGACCTGCCAAGCGATCGGCCAAGAAGCTTCAGGGCAAGGCTGGAGCAGCACCGGCAAGGGGGGGGGGCGTTGTCCACCAGGCACTGGCCTCCTTAAGGCCACCGGGAAACTGGGAACGCCGAAGGGGTCCCTCTTCCCCACAAATACCACCCGGGGCAGATACCTGACCCCCAGCCCTACGGGCCCGTCCTGCCTTACAAGGATGACGGTGGCAGTGATGGTGACCCCGGCCATGAGCCCGTGGGTGATGGTGTCTGGACGGTAGGGGTACCGGATGGAGTCATCACCACAGTAGAACCCTCGCTTGTACGGGGCGTTCACAAGCGTCAGTATGGCGAAAGGCAGGGCGGCTGGGGGTGGGGAGAGGAGCCATGTAGACCAGCCTTCTTCTGGAGCTTGCACACCTGCCTCAGTGTCCCCCGACACCCACCATTAAAATTCTCTCGGGGTCCCCGCCAGGCCTGCAGTCTAACCCCCACCCCACACCTCCTACCCTCTCCCCTCCCTCACTCACTTCCCTCCGGTCCCCCCTTCTGTTCCTTGAACAAATCCAGAAAGCACCCACTCCAGGACCTCTGTGTGTGTTCTCTCTGCCCAAAACATCTTTACCTCCCCACCAGCCTCAGCTTCACTCCCCAGGCTGTGCCAACCAAGTAACCCCTCTCCTAGAGGGAAGTTTCTGTTCTTCCTGTCTCTTATCCTTGTAACTCTGTAATCACTGATACTGGACTGGATCCCCCTCCTCCACCATCTGTGAGCACCTGGGGGGCACTGGGGTGCTCAAGGCTGAGCCCCAGGGGCTTAGATGACATTTAATAACCATCTGTTAAAAGAGAGGGCTTCCTGTTTTTCAAGCTGAAATGTTTGCATTCTCATTTGGCCCTGAGCCGGCCACACAGTGACCCAGGCAGACCAGGCCCAGCAGCTCAGTATGAAGAAGACACATTCAAAAGCCACAGGCAAGACCAAATTAAGAAAGGTTAAGTCGCCCAGGCACTGGGGCCCTGCTGAACCAAAACCCTTCCCCCCTTCCCACAGAGGACTCCCTGCTCAATGAGTTAAGTGCAGAGACAAACTCCAGCAGGGTGTCCTTTGCCCCAGGCAAGGCAGGTGACAAGAGTGAAAGGGTGTGGCTCTTCTGTGGCCTGAATGCCAGAGAAGGGACAGCAGGGCCAACTCCTCCAAAAGCCAAATTCAAGGGCCCCAGGGACCCTTTACTGAAGGTGTTGAGCACCTTTGCTGCTGAGTCAGGGGAAAGACTTAGTGAAGAACACAGAGATTGGCTTCGGGCAGTGGGAAGGGTTAGAAATAAAGAGTAAGTGAATGACCAGTGGAAAAGGGGAGGGAGGCTGCAGCTTTCAACAGGGACTGTAGAGTAGGCCTCAGAGAAGGTGGCTTGGAGGGGATGAGGAAGTTCGGGGGAGATGTGGGGAAGAGTGCCAGGCACCGGGACCAGCCAGTGCAAAGGTCTGGAGGTGTGACCATGTCTGGGCTGTAGGAGCACTGGGAAGAAGGGCTGTGTTGGGGGTTGGAGGGTGGAGGGCATTGTAAGAATGGGAATCTTGCTGGGAGTGAGACAGGCACAGGAAGGTTGGGAGCAGAGGAATGGAGCATGTTTTCATAGGATCCCTCCATCTGCTGTGGGGGCAAGGGCAGAGGCAGAGAGACCTAAAAGGAGACTCCCGAAGCTGTGTGTGTGTGTGTGGGGGGGGGGGGTGCAGGGCTAGAAGGTGCTGGGAAGTCAAGTCACACAGGATGCCTGGAACGGGAGGTCAGCCTCCCAGCTCCTGTTCCCTGCCCCTTCCACTGGAGATGCAGGCACCCCGACCTCCGCGGGCTTTCCTGGGATTTGGGAAGGAGAGCGCAGGGCGCTGAAGTTGGGGCCTCACATCATCCCTCAGGGTCCTTGTCACCATTTAAAACAGAGCTGTTGTGTTGAATCTTCTAAAACAGGGAGTGTGATCTGCTTGAGCCACCAACTCCTGGCACACAGCCAGCCAGCAGCAACATACAACTTAATCTCGGTTCTGCCTCCCGGGTGACCTCTCTGGGATTATTAACAGCTCACCCCTCACAGGCTGTTCGGAGGAAAAGGTGCAGTTATTTGCATGTTGCTTAGAGTCTAGCATACGATAAATGCCACATAAATATTAAATAAAAACATAGGTGCTCAGAATATGGTGCCCAGGGTCTCCTTCCTGCCACCACCTAGCCCATCCTAATAGGGGTCTCGTCTGGGACATGGGAGGAGGGTCTGGCCTCTGCCATCCCTCAGCACCGAACCTTCCATCTCTCGGTCTCTCAGGCCCCTCCGCGCTGGTCTGAAACGCCAAGAACCAGATTGTGGGGGGCGGGGGATTTTGGCCGGAGGGGCCCCTCCCCCTGCCGGGGCTAGAGTTCCGAGGCCATCGCCCTCACAGCCCCAGAGCAAACACTCAGCCATTGTTCCTGGGACCCTGGGAGAGGGGAGGGGAGGGGCCTCGGGCTGCCCCCTCCTCCAACCTCGCCCGAAAAGCCGCCCAACGGGTTTGGTCCTGCCGCCCTGCAGCCCGCGGTTCAGGCGCAGCCCCGGGCCCAGCTTTCTCTAGGTGTTTACCCGTTTGCGCGGGTTCAAATCCCACCGACCAGCTGTGCGCCCCGGGCCAGGCCTCAGCTCTCCCCACGCCCACGGGGAAAGCCGAGCCTGGGCCCGGGGCGTGAAGATCCTCCCCGCGGGGACCCGCACCGCAGCCCCTGCCCCGGCCCGCCCTCACGGGGGCCGCCGCCCGTGTGAATCACCGCCCTGGTAGGGCGCGGCGGGAAGGGGGACGCGGCGGGATGGGGGCGCCCGCGGCCCGGCGGCGACTTCCTGCCGCCCCGGGCGGGGGTGCCAGCGCGGGCGCCGTTCTGACCCACTCCTGAACCCGGCGCGGGCGGGGTACGCGGAGGCCAAAAGGGCTAGCGCCGGGGAAGGTGCGCCGGGGTCCTCCCCCGGACACCTGAGTCCCCCCCACCATCCCGGCTTCCCGCGGCTCTTACCGACCAGCACGCAGAGCAGGTCGAGCAGCACGAAGACCCACCTCCGCTCCATGCCGCCCCCGCCCCGGGCAGCGCCCGCGACCCCCGACGCCGGCGGAGCGCGTCCCGTCGCGTCCAGGCCCGGCCCCAGAGTCACATGGCCGCCCGGCCGGGCCGAGCGAGCGAGGGGAGGGGAGCGGCGGGCGGGGCGGGGCGGCCCCGGGGCGGGGGCGGACTCTGCCCCCGCCCCGCCCGCGGCGCGCAGGAAGGAGCCCGGTGGAGAGTGCGGGCGAGTGGCGCCTGGGGACCCGGGGGTGGGGCAGGGCTGGGGTCTCCGAGCCGGTAGGGACCACCAGCGCCCAGGCCCCCACCCACCCACCAGGCCGGGAGGCTACAGCTCAGCGAGTCCCGGGTCACCCAGAACGTCTGTGCCCCGGCGAGTGCCCGGGTCTCACGGATCCCGCCGGCTGAGTCGGGGGCAGGGCGTAGGGTGAGGTGACAAGGAAAGAACGAGCCTGAGGGGCGAATGGGCGGCCCCGGCAGAACTTCGGGGTGTAGAGGAGCTCGGGCTGCGCAAGCCGCTCTCCGAGCCCAGGTCTCCCCGCTGGAGACTGGCGTTCATGCCCTGTGTATCTCAATATTCTGAATCAGTAAATGTCTAAAACTTGACGGAACGGTTCCTGAGGCTTCACTGCAGAGGTTTTTATGAGGTCCTGCCAGCCCTGGCAGTTTAGATCAGATTCCTCAACACCCGCCCTGGAGGATGTGCCAGGCACTGTTGCTATGTAGCACTTATTGTCCCCGTTCGACAGACAGCAGATGAGCCAAGAGGTAGGAACTTGCCCAACACCTGGAAATGGTTAAGAGTTTGGTTCTGTGCCACCCGGGTCCCAGGGAGCCCTGAGATGGGAGGGCCCTGGGGGTCAAGAGCACCCAAGCCTGGGAAACTGAGACCGGAAGGGCGCCTTACATCCACTTTCAGTGTCCACACACCTACGCCGGATCCTTTCCGCCGGAACCCCCTGAGAGGCCTTGGGGAGTGTGACCACCTCCTGGAGAGCCCTGCCTTGATCTGGCCAGAACATTTGACTGGCCAGAGGTTCTGTCACCTTCAAGGTCACACAATGGGAAGGAGGCTGGGATTGGAACCCAGGTGGTTAAGGCTCCAAGGTCCCATGCCCCTGACCTCTAAACCACATTCACTACCCCATCACCTCCAAAGATCCGGCAGAGGATGTTCCGGGCCCTTTTTGACCCGAAGGGAGCCAGGTTCACAAACAGGCAGCCCCTGGACCAAAGTCAAGCAGCTGGGACTTGAACTCAGAGCCGCCTTGACCCTGCTTTCTGGAAAGATAAACAGACCTCTGCGTCTTGGCCACTGTCCAGAAGGCTAGGTTGGGGGGCCGAATGTCTCTGGGTCAAGTCCCCTGCGCACAGGTCAACTTTCTGAAGCAGGCCTTCCGAGACTCCTCCACTACCCCCGCACACACTCAAATAACTCAGCCCATCCCCAGGGCATGACAAAGTCCTGCTTGGAAACTTCTGCACTGAAATTTCCGTCTGCGGTGTGGCAGAGACAGAGTGGGAGGCATGTCACCAGCAACCAACCCCCCCCCTTTCCAACCGCACTCCCTGAAAAGTTTAAGTCGCCCCCGGACTTCCTGTAAAGAAGCCCGGATTATCTGACTTAATTGCCCGGAGGGTATTCCTAGTGTCTGGGTAGAGGTGCCATGCCAGGTTCCAGTTTCAGACTCAGCTGGTTCCAGCGCGTACTCCTCTCCTCCTAACATGACCCCGCCCTGCGTTTGCTCGGGCTCTGCTCATTGGCTACTCCTCCTGCCACTCACGGGGGGGGCAGGGAAGGGACCACCCCGGGCTCTAACTCCTGTCGTTCATTCATTCATTCATTAACAGAAACTGAATTAGGGGTGTTGTGAGAATTACCTGCTAAAATACTGAAGCCTGACCCCCCAAAAAAAAATGTTACACAAATGTTAGCTGGCACCATTATTATTATTGCACTTTTTAAAAATTTTAACCTCACTTTAATGGGGTGACTGACTACCTCGCTCTCGGTGTTGACAGCCCAATACTTTCAGTTAGTGCAGAGATGCAACATTGTATTAAGATCAAGGAAATTCAGGATTCTTTATTGAATGCCTACTGTGTGCTGCGAACACGGGGGTAAGCTGTGGGTGGGGCACCTGCCCAAGGGCATGCCGGCAGAGACAACCTGGGTGGGTAAGTCAGACCCAGGTGAGTCTCCAGGGAAAGGCTCCCGCCTTGGGTAGGAGAGTGTAGCCTGATCCCTGTTGAGCCAGGAGAGTGGCTGGAGGGAGGGAGGGCATGAGGCTGGAGCTGGTGTGCCTATGGGCCCCTCCCCACTGACCTCAACCTCATCCTATTCTTAAAATATCCCGGCAGGGTCAGGATTAAAATACAGGGATTAGGGTTAGTGTTAGGATTGGGGTCAGGGCTTCTACACTTGGCAGCTGTGGTATCCCACACCTCAAGAAGTTTTCATACCTGGTCCTTTACGGAAAAAAAACTGAACCAGTGAAGCCTGCTCAGGGGACAGCGCCTGGGCTGGGAGCCAGGACTGGATGGCTTCTCCCTCACCTGCAGATGGCAAAGGTGGAAGGAGACTGAAGGTCCCAGGCCTTCCCCGTCTACTTAGAGATCCCACCAACTCTGTGGCGGCTGACCACTCCCAAGCAAATGACATTTTGGGCTCATAAGGTTATCAGTTCTCCTGACCCCGTTGCCTCGACGGAGATTCCTGAGACTCCAGGTTTGTTTCCAAAAGGAATATTGCGAAGAAAAAAGCTTGGCAGGTTGGCAGGTTGCCTGGCACACAGTATGTGCCACTTGAGTGCAGCCAATACTCTGGCCTTTCTATACTTCTCTTGGGGGCTTAGAAAGACCCCACTGGGAGTTGTCTCCCAGACTGAGGGCTGTACCTCTGGATGGCCACGATGGGTGTATTTGAGCAGGGGAGGCAGAGTGGGTGTATGGTCCTCAGTTTCACTATGAAACACTACGGGAAGGTTATTGAACACAGTGGAGTAGGTGCCTAGTGTCACCTGTGTGTCCGAGTCCCAGACCCGCACACAGCTACAAGGATTGTGCTGTCCACGAATGCCACCCCACCTGCATCTGGGCAATCCTCCCAGGTTCAGCACTCACCGCATCGGCATCCTGGGAACCCTCAGCTCCGGATGAAGCCACCAACCCACACGGATGACCCCTACTGCAGTGCCCTCCCTGCCCTGCACCCACCCAAGCTCTGGCACCATCTTGGCCTGTGTGTCTGCTTATCAGCTTACCGCAGTCTCCTCGCTAGAGTCAGCTCCAGGAGGGCAGGGACCCCCATATATTAGGGGCTCAGTGAAAGTGAATGAATGTGCTGAATGAAAAGTGACCTAGTGAATAATGACCCAGTGCTGGGCCCTGAGGTCACTAGTGACTGCTGCTCCAGGTGCTCGATCAGGGCTGGGGTTTCACAGGACGAGGCCACAAGCTGCTTATCCCTTTTGTAAGAGCTATCTTCAAGGACAGTCCAGCCCCTGAGCCACACCTCCCCACTTTGCCTGGCTATGGCTGGGGGTGGAAGGAGTGGTATTTTGTGGTATTTTACTCCAAGCTTCCATCACTGGGCCCCCAGATCAGGAGAGGCTGCAGATTCCAGTCTACCCCAGGGTCGGGGGGTCAGGAACAGCCTCTGCTGGAGAGTGAGGCAAAGTCACAGCACGGCCCTGACCTCCTGACCTCCAGACACTCACGGGGCGGGCACTGATGTGCCAGGCACCCACAAGCTCAGTGTGCTCCTCACAGCAGCCGGGGGATAATGTTACCATATTACAGGGAGGTTAAAGGAGAGGAAAAGGTGAAAAACATGGAGAATTTCAGCAGAGAAATGGGGGGGGGGGGAACAGCAGAGATATGGGACAGGCTAAATAGCAGTCTGGAAACTGGAAAAGAGAACCAGGGACCTCAAAGACTGGCTGGTCAAGAGCAACTATCCAAATGGAAACACAGAATCAAACACAAAGAAATCTGTAGAACAATTCCCAATGTCCTCCTGTGTAACTGGAAGCCCAGAAGGAGAGAGAAGGGGGCAGCAGCAGACACATCCAAAGAAATAACAGTCAAGATGCACGGACACCGGTGCAAGGCCACCCTCAAGGCCAAGTACCTCCATGTGGGAAGCCACACCTCGCACATCACACTCAGACACTAGTGTCCAGACAAAAAGGAAATCAGAGAAAAAAGAGAAGTCTCGTCTAGGAAAACACAAAAACAACCGATTTCTCATTAGAAACCAGGAGTCTAATGGAACATCTTAAAATGCTGATCCTGCCCTGACCCGTGGAGCTGTTGGCTGGGCACTGTTCCCCAGGGCAAGCGGCTGCTGCTTCGATTCCCAGTCAGGGCACAGGCCTGGGTTGCGGGCCAGGTCCCCAGTAGGGGGCGCGAGAGAGACAACCACACATTGATGTTTCTCTCCCTCTCTGTCTAAAAATTAATAAAATCTTAAAATACTGATCCTGCCAAAAAGAGGAAGAAGTGTTTATAAAATGAGGGAGGAATCCTCGAGGATCTCCTGGGCCAGGGAGAGGGAGTGAAGAACATTTGTGGAAAGAAACGAGGGCCCATCTCTGAAGGCTACGGAAAACAATGAAATGCCACCACATGCCTGTCAGAACAGGCCACACCCAAACCGAGGACAACGCCGTGCTGGCGAGGCCCCAGAGCTTCGGGGACCCTTTGTTACCACCAGTGGGAATCCAAGTGGTGCTGCTCTTTGGGAAGAGCTTGGTTGTTTCTGACAAAACTAAAAACACTCTTACTGTTAAGACTCAGCTCCTGGGTATTTACCCAAATGAGCTGAGAACTTGTGTCCAAACAAACACCTGTGTCAGTCCTGGCTGGTATAGTTCAGTGGACTGAGCGCAGGCCTGCGAACCAAAGGATCGCAATTCGATACCCAGTCAGGGCACATGCCTGGGTTGCAGGCCAGTTCCCAGCAGGGGACTCATGAGAGGCAACCACACATTGATATTTCTCTCCCTCTCTCCTTCCCTTCCCCTCTAAAGATAAATAAATAAAATCTTAAAAGGAAAAAAAAAACCTGCGTCAGTGTTCACAGCAGCTTCATCTGTAAGTGCCCAAACCTGAAAGCAACCGAGAGTTCCTTCAGCTGGTGAGTCCACCCGGTGGAATGCTGCTGAGCAATGACATGAGTGATGGGGCCACGAGATGTGGAGGAGCCTTAGGTGCGCATCACCAAGTGATGACAGCCCACCTGAAAAGGCTACGCACCCCGAATGGTTCAAAACCAGAGAGAAAACAAGTTATACTATACACCTGAAACTAATACAAAGTAACACTGAATGTGAACTGACAAACTAAAATTTTAAAAACCAGGGAGAAGGACACAAATCTTAGCAGTCAGAGTAAACAAACACACACACAAAGATAAGGACAATGGCAGCTTTCTTGGAAGCAGAGCAAACCAGAATGCGGTAGAGCAAGAGCTCTAAAAATGCTTCAAGAAAATAAAAATAGACTAGAAACTCCAGGGAAAATCACTCTACGGTCCCTGGCAGCCCACCCCACAGGAGCCCCTGCTCCCAGTGCTGGCACATCAGCTCTGAAGGGCTAAGCCCCGAATTCCGGAGACACCTGACTTTCCCAAGCACCTAGGCACAGCCAGCCCAACCCATCTGCCCTTGGCCTTCACTCCCTCGGTCCAGGCCCATCCCTTCCAGGCGTGGCCCTGCCCCTGTCCAGCCTGTCCGCACAGCCACTAAAGGAGCTTTGAAAACCACATCTTGGCCCAGCCCAATTACCCCTCTAAGGGCATCAGGACAAAACCTGCTGGCCTGCCCACCTAGCCCCTCTGCTACTCTCCCTCCCACCCTCCACCTCTTTCCTGGGACTCAGACCCCTGCCTTCCTCTCTGTTGATGGTAACCTTGGCCTAACTCACAGGGCCCTCACCAAAACAGGGTGAATTCACCTTCAGATTCCAGATTAAATGTCCCCTCCATTTAACTGACCACCTCCCTCCTATCAGCGACTACGTGACAAGGGTGACCTGTGGTTCCCCTGAACCTCTTCCGTCCTGCCCAATCCACCACAAGACTTCAAATCAAGTTTAATTCATAAATCAAATCAGCCCTGGCTGATGTGGCTCAGTGGATTAAGTGCCAGCCTATGAACCAAAGGGTCACTAGTTCAATTCCCGGTAAGGGCATATGCCTAGGTTGCAGGCCAGGTCCCTGGTGTGGGGCACATGACATATTGATGTTTCTCTCCCTCTCTTTCTCCCTCCCTTCCCATCTCTCTAAAAATAAATGAACATTTAAAATCAATCAAATCAAATCAAGGGCTTCAAATCAAGTTTAATAAATAAAACAGCAAGGGGTTCAAGGCAGTTGTCAACTTCACAGTGTGGTCCTTGGTTGGGGTGACAGGAAAGGCCGAGTCCAACTCTGCAGATGGGCTCGAGCCAAAACTCTCCTGGTGACACCCAGGGCCTGGGGAGAGCTGCCCTGTCCCCCTGAGGACCCCACTCCAATTTGTAAACAGAAACATAAATAAAACAAGGGAGGTGGGTGAAGAGAAGGACCAGGACCCCAAACCATCTTGCTGGGGAGCTTCAACAGAAACACGACCTGCAGGGTCAGGAGAACAGGCTAGAACCCGGCCCCTCGGCATTGCAGGCAACAGGGGGGATGTCAGCCACCTGTCTCTTGGAACCCACGCCCGCACAAGGCTGCTGAGAGGCCCTGGGGCGGATAGAGAGAGGGGGCAGATGGGCATAAAGTGCGGCTTTTCCTGAAGTGGACAGAGTGGGTGAGGTCAAGGGTGGGGCGGGGCCAACATCGAGGTATATGGCTCTGTGCCCCATGGGGTTTGGCACCGAGTAGCAGCTGCCCGCCGACCCCCGGGCTGGGGCAGCCCATGGCCCTGCTAGGTGCAGGGAGACAGAGCCAAGTAGAGTGCTGGGGGCTCCCTGGGCAGAGACTGCTGGTGGGGGTGGCGGGGAGGGCATCCCCCTGCCCTGTCTCACCCTGACAGGCAGGGATGCCTTTCCTGGCCTCTGCTGGCTAGAGGGGACCCGGCCCTCTGCACCCAGCTGCCCAACGGGTCCCACGGTGAGTGGCAGCCTGGAGCCAGGCGGCGGTGCCCGGCGCTGAGGGTGCCGGTCTGCGTGTGGGGAGGGGCAGGGCTAGTAGCCCCACCACTGCTCACCCCAGTCCTTGAAGTGTTCTGAAGCAGAGAAGGCATTACCCGAGGCCCACGAGGAAAAGGGTCGGGAAGACTGACGGGCTGAGGCAGGCCCCACAGTGGCCCCAAGTCCAGTCTAGGCCACACACACCCGCCTGTGGCCAGGAATCAACAGGTCATCACGTTACAGCTGCAGTGAGGGGAGAGACCGAGAGAGAGAGCAAGAGAGGGTCAGTCCAGTCCCATAGGCCGCACGGCTCGAGCACTGTGGGCCAAACGCACGGCTCCCAGCCTCGCCTCCCCCAGCAGGCCGTGTTTTCACGTGTGCCTGGAAGGGCTGCTGGTTGGGGCGGGGTGAGAGGAGACTAGCACTGGCCCCACTGGTACCTTTTTGGATTTTGAACCATACGAATGTATTACCTAGTCAAAAAATAAATAAGCCAAATTAAAAGTAGAAAATAAAACTAAAGAAACAAACAGAGCCTTCATGGGGCTGGGCCACCCGCAGGCCCTCAAGCCAGACCCCTCCCACCTCCTCAGTTCAGCCTGAGGCTGGGGCCCTAGGGTGGGGGCTGCACTCACTGTGACAGGGGCTCCGAATGCAGCCCAGGGCCCGGGCACGCTGGGTGGGCAGCCAGGAAAGGATTCACGTCCCCAATGCCAATAAGTCCAAACTCCGTGACCGACAAGGCCACCTGCGCAGGGGCCACAGCCTCCTCAGGCTCTCCGTCCATATCCACGTGGCTGGAGACCAGGGGCATCTCCTCAGGGAGGGCCGAGGGCAGGGCCAAGTCCACAGCCAGTCTCGAGCTGGCGTCGGCGGGCTCTGGAGCAGCTGTAGCGGAGGGGCAGAAGGCCGGCTCGGCCAGGGCCAGGGGCCGCTGGGGCAGGGGCACGATGGGGGGAGCGTCCAGCTGCTGGAACAGACAGGGCCCTGGCTCCGAGGATGGGAGGCCGTTGGAGCCCTCCTCAGGCTCACCAAGACTGCCAGGCACGCCGTCCACGCTCAGCGGCTCTGCAGGGGGAGAACACAGCTGCGGCCAGGCCCCCAGCAGCACCCCGCGCCCGGCCCTCCCAGGACCCACAACGACCCTGGCTAAGGCATACTTGCTTAAAGCCACACTTCTGCCTGGACACCGCAACCTATGCAGGCTGTGGCCAAACCTGTCCGGGACAGCAAAGCTTACAGACCCTCTTCACGAATGTTTCCACGTCAATGCAGAAAATACACATGAACACAAGGAAACTACTTACACTCAACTGTGCAACCAGGCTAAGGCCCTGCCTCAAAAGACTGTAACTCCTGCTTTTCAGGACAGATCACAACAGATTCAAAATGACAAAATGACGCTTAAGTGTACTGCACAGTCTGGGTAAGCATGGGACCTGTGGGGCTCTGCACACAGGGGCACAACAGGCAACTTCGGACGGGGAGCTGTGGGTGCCCTTCCAGGCAAGCCACAAAGCAAATCACATTCCGGAACCAGGGGTAATATAAACCAGAGTCCCGCAGACCTAGAGAATGAAGGCCCTCATCCTTCCCTCCATGGTCACCTTCAGAAACTGAAATCACAAACCAGGCCTGTTTTGCTCTCATGTGGCCCTGGGCCAGGACTGGGAGGCCTCAGGCACTCCCGGTTCTCTTGCATGGTGGCTGAGGCTAAGCAATCACCATCAGGGCCCAGAAAGAAGCCCCCCTGACCTAGAGCCAAAAAGGGGCCCCCCAAACACATGGCACCCAAAGAGGAGCCCCTACTTTAGGCTGCAGAACACACACAGTTCCCCTCCACGTGGAAAGCCAACAAGCCCCTGTGGCATCTCGTGTGTGTGACACCTCCTGGGGTGGAGTGACAGTGGCTCCCAGACACCTGCTCCTTAGCGTCCCCTGGCACAGGTCAGAGTGCTAGTTATGAGGGGGCCCCCAAGCGTAGGGCCCACTCCACCTTCTTACCCATGTGCATCCTCGCCGCAGGGTCCTGCTCAGGGCCTAGGCTGTCAGTGGCAGGGGGCAGGAGTGATGAGGAGCGGGGACGCGAGAGGCCATCAGGGTCACTGCTATCTAGGTCCTGGTCTGTGTCCCTGAGAAAAGAGGGGGCAACGTGGAGACAGGCACCTCAGGCAGGAGGTGCTCCCCGGGACTCCCAGCGCCCCCTGCCCCCGGGGCCTGCCGGAATGCCACTGCACATACGTGGTTCCCGACGGGCCGTATTTCCTCCGCCCCAGCCGTGTCTGCTGGGAGAAGTAGTCATAGCGCTCGGACTTCTTCCACAGGTAGTAGTACTCCACGCACTCGCCCACAGACCTGGTACGCACCTGAGGGGCAGCACAGTGTCATCTGGGCCCCACATGCCCAGACGCCTTCACTTCCCAGGACAGTGGCAACAGGTCATGGCAACTGTGGCTCTCAAAGACCCACCCACACCCCCCATGTTCTCTGCATTCACCTCCAGCCCCCATCTGGCCCACAGGCCACCCCTGTCTAGGGCTCATCCCTTCTATCTAAACACGATGGCACCGCAATCAGAGATCCCCAACCGCTGGCACAGGACCCCATTCTTCTTCACTCTGGGCCTGCCTGTCCAATGCCCACCGCCCTCACCCCGGACCTCACCAGGCTCCCAAGGACTGCAGTGTCCACCTCATTTCCTGTTCATCACAGGCCCAGCAGAGGGGAATGAGCGGTGTGGACACCAGGAGCAGAGCCCCCACCCAGAGAGGGCAAGGTGCAACCCGGCCAAGCCTGCTTTCCCCACAGAACATCATTAGCACTCCAAGGGGCAGCCGTTCGTGAGCACAAAAGTAGCCATCACGAACCCCAGACTCAGATCACACACACAAGCACCCCCAAAATAAGGTGAACACAGTGTGAAAAAGGTCCAGCAAAGGGCTAGACACCCCCGGCAACACCTCTTGGGGCATCTTCATTTGGAGAAGCCCCCACAGCAAGGCCACTGCTGTGCTGCAGCTGCAGCATGTGAGGACCACTGCTGCTCCCCAGGATGAGGGACAGACACCAGAGCTCCGGGAGGCCGGGGAACCAGGGGGACAGGCCGGGCGAACACAAGCTGTCTCCTCTTCCCAATGACCCTTTTCTGCATCAGGGGTCCAACTGGGAATGAGGGGGGCGGTGTGTGGAAGACAACACATGAAGTTCTGCTCACAGAAGCAGCCTCGGCTGCCACGGAAACACAGTGAACAGGCTGCTGCATCAGGTCAGCAGGAGCGGATCCACCTAGAGGATCTTGTGCTGCCTGGCACAACACTGGGAAGGTCAGCTGAGCACAGTCCCGTCCCTACAGTGGCCTGGCAGAGGCATCTCACTGACTCCAGCCTCCAAAGAGAGGACGGAGGCCCCAGACATGAGTTAGGTTTCACCAGGCCCTACTTTTCCACATGCTGTGTCACCATGAATAATCAGAAGGGGCAAGGGCTGCTTCCCTAGACGGGCAGAAAAAGCCCCTCTAGGGACAAAGGAGGTGGGGGAGCTGAGATGAGAAAGACAAAGGGAAGTTCGGGCTCTGAGACAGAGTCATGGAGCACATCCGGCCAGACGTCCGGGGAGAGTGACTGAGGTCTAGGAAAGACAGGAGACTCAGGTCCAAGGGAGGACACACGAACTCAGGCCTAAGGAGGACAGGGAATTCAGGTCCAGGGGAAGAGAGATGGGCTCAAGTCTAGGGCAAGGCAGGGACCTGGCACTCAGCAGCCCCTCTGGTCATGAGCAGCTGTCACAGGTGGCAGGAGAGACCTATTTCCTTGATTTGATTGAACTAGGAGACCCTTGACCCCCATGGCTAAGGGCTGAGAATGGATATTGAGTACAGGCACAACTCCTAAAATTCACCCTTAGGCCAACTGTTTCCCATAATGGAGCCTTCTTTAGGGGAAGTAAGTGACCTGGCCACAGGAGACTACAGTGAGAGGCAGAAACCAGAGCGTTAGCCCTCGGCTCGCAGAAGCTGCAGGAACCTGGTGAGGGGAGCTGTGACCTCATGCTGTGGGGTATAGGGTGCCATGTGCTCAGGCTCCCATGGAGGCCATGGTACAGCCCAGTGCCGGGGGGGGGGGGGGGGGGGCAGGAGGGCAGGGGGCAGGGGGTGCTGTGTCCTTACCTTGTTGGCCTGGATCAGGTGGAAGTTCTTCCCGTGCACGCGGAAACCGTGCTCAAAGTTCCTGCACTCCTCCTCACTCCAAGCACAGAGCCCATCTGCAGACAGGAGAAGCCAGTGGCATCAGCAGTGCCCAGACCAGGACGGCTGGTGTGGGTGGGGCAGGCCAGTGGGGAGCTCACCTCGGATCACCTTCACGTTGAACCGCAGTCTCCGCAAAGCCTCCTCCACATTAAAACTGCATTTCACCAACTCATACAGTGCCTGGGGGAGCAAAAGCCTCTTCCCACCTGCTCACCAGCAGCAACAGCAGGAGGATTTACTTCACTATCAGCGCAGGGAGATTAGGGGCATGGACCTCACCATCAGTCAGAGGGTTATGGGAGGCACTTAACCCTACCATCGGGGCAGGGGTATGGAGCTAGTCATACCGCCATCAGGGCAAGGGTATCGGGGGCATCTACCCTTCCATTAGAGAGAGAATATGGGGGCATCATACTGCCATCAGGGTATGGATGTGGGGAGTATGTACAACACCACTGTTCACACCGTCATCGGGGTGGGGATATCGGAGGCATTTACCCCACTGATGCGGGTGGGAATGTCAGGGGCATATGAATCACAGTCAGGGCAGGGGTACCGAGAGCATTCATACCATCATCACAGTGAGGACAGCAGGGGACGTTTACCTCACCATCGGGGTGGAGACATGGGAGGCATGTTCACCACCTTCGAGACAGGGATATGGGGGTGCTCACATCACCACAGGGACATGAACATGAGGGTGTTCACAGCACCATCAGAATGGGATATCAGGGTACACTTACTCCACCGGCAGGACTGGGATGTGGGGGTGCTCCTACCACCATCAGGGCAGGGATACAGGGGTGTTTGCACCACCACTGGGGGTGAGATGGGGGGCTGTTTACCAGAGTGGGGATTTGGGGGTATTCACACCATCCAGCATGCTGCCTACCTGCTCACTATCTTTCACTGTTTCTCCCTCCGGGAGCTGAGACCCAGCCGTCTCGTGCCATCTCCGCTTGACTGCCCGATACAAGAACTCCTCCACCTCCCTCTCAGGGAGGATGTTGGGGTCCCACAGCAGCTGGTCTTCGTTCTCATAGACTATGCAGAAGGGCGGCCAGGGTCAGCCGTGGGCATGTGGTCCACACCACACCTCAAACAGTGCATGCTCCCCCTCAAGCACCCACCAGCCATCGCAGCACCTCCAAAGAATGGCTACCACCTAGAGGAGGCGGCAACTGGCCTGGCTGACGAAAGGGGGACTTCTGAGCATGGCCTTTGGGAAGGGAGTTGTGGGCAATGGGTTCAGGGAGGATGAACCCGTTTGCACAGTTTACAAGCCTTGAGAAAGAGTCCCGAGGAAGCAGAGCGAAGAGCCTGGACCTGTTGCCAGCAGTGAGACCTGGGTCCCAGTGTTCTGGCTTAGGCCACAGCCACTCTAACCAGAGCACCACGCCAGCCACATATGAGTGTACTTTGCCCGGGGGAGGGGAGTCCTGCCCCACAGCAGCAGGTGACATCAGCCTCCAGCCGGGGAGGGAAGTGATGAGGAAGAGATTGAAGGGAGAGCTCGGGGCCAGTGTGGGAAGCTCCCAGAGCCAGCACCTCTTAATTATCATGGGAAGAGGCACAAGGACTGAACAGCAAACAATACAAACAACCAACACAGTGTAGGGGCCAGAAAGAGAAAAACACACTCGGGAAAACAGCTCCTACACTGGAATGTCTCTGGCTAGAAAACTGCCTGGGAACAAACAGCTCTTGGGTTGGTGCTGAGAACCACAGGGGCAGTGGCTTTGTCTGGTAGGAAAGCCCCTGTGGGCCTGGAGCTACCTCCTACCCCTCCACACTGACGCAAGTCCAGCCTGGACCAGAGTGGCTAGCCTGAGAGGACAAGAGGCCCCTCTCTGGGACAAAACATCATCCTATAACCTTAGCCCTCCATCTACCAAGTGTGCAAATGTGAGAGGAAACTATGGAACAACAGAAGTAAATCCACAAATGGCAGAAAATCAGAATTAGCAGACAGGACCTCAAAGAATCAGATGAATTTTCTAGGACTGGAAAATGCAAATTGTGAATTTATGAACCCACATAGAAGACATGATTAGTAAAATCAAAAAGAATTCGATAAAAATCAAAGAGAAGGAGCCAAACTGAATTTAGAGAGAACACGGGGGAGGCAGAAGACAGTCGCATATGTAACAGAGATGGAAGAATCGAAGAATGGGCAGGAGGAAATCTGAAGAGACAACAGCCAAGAATTCTCCAAATTGATGTATAATACAAAACTACACATCTAAGAAACTCGGGACAGACACAAAAAAAACCACACCTGGGCAAATCTGGGGGAAAAATGCTAGAAGATAAAAGAAAAATGCAATCAGCCTGTAAGGAAACAGTAAACAAGAATTTCAACAGAAACAGTAAGACAGACATCTGACTTTTTAGCAGAAACAACAGATGTCAAAGACAATAGAATCAAATGGTTTACATGTGAGGAGAAAAAAGCTGGCATATCTAGAATCCAGACCCATAAAAACACTCTTCAAAAGTGAACTCAAGCTTAGGACTTTCCAGGCAACCAAAAGCTGAAAGAATTAATCAACATCACAAGAAACAGTAAAGAGCAAGTTCTTTGAGCAGGAAATGACCCCAATGGAAGCTGGAGGGAGGGAACGGCACTGTCCAGGCAGCTGTGCCTGAACTGGGGACCATCCAGCGCCTACAACGCAGCACTCGCCGTGGCACCTGCAGACCCAGCGGCGGCGCAGTGGACAGAGGGTGCGGAGATTAGAATGCGCTTCTCTAAAGCAGCGATTTCCAGCCTTTTTCATCTCACGGCACACAAACTAATTACCAAAATTCTGCAGCACACCAAAAAATGTATTTCTTTGTCAATCTGACAAAAAAAGTAGGTATGATCTTAATTCACTCACACCAGATGGTTATTACTGTGTTGGCTGTCTTTTTTTTTCAATCCTCACTTGAGGATATATATTTATATTTATTGATTTTAAACAGAGAAGGAAGAGAGAAAGCAAAAAACATCAACGTGAGAAAGAAAAATCAACTGGTTGTTTCTCGTACATGTCCAGCCCTGGGGTCAAACACTACACACATATGAGCCCTGACCAGAGATCAAGCCCACACAATTCCGGTGCGAGGCACAACATTCCAACCAACTGAGCCACCCAGCCAGGACTACTGTCATTTTTCCACTTGACAATCTAAGGGAAAAGAGGGCAGTGTCCCTGATGAAACAGTCAGGTACTGTATGCTGTAAAACTTCTTGTGGCACACGAGTGGAACTGAAAATCACTGATCTAAACTAGGGTAATCACTGAAGAAGTAACATGAAGATTAAAACTTATGCTCTCAAAGAGGAGGAAGAAGTAGAATAAAACTACTTAATTAATCAAAAAGAAGACAAGCCCTGGACAGTGTGGTTGGTTGGAGCATCATTCTGTAAAACAAAAGGTCGCGGGTTCGGTCCCCATTTGGGACACATACGAGAAACAGTCAATTGGTACTTCTCCCTCACACCAGTATTTCCCTCTCTCTCCTTTCCCCTCTCTCTAACATCAGTCAGCATGTCACTGGCTAAGGATAAAAAAAAAAAATTTTTTAAGCACACAAGAGAAAATAAATAAAGGAAAAAAGAATGCATAAAACAAGGAGAAAATAAAACATGGTGACCTATCCCAAGTGTTTTCACAACTACAAGAAAAATAGTCCAAAATGGAACTGGGCTACATACTCTCTATTAAAAGGCAAAAGAGTATGAGACTGTATAAAAAGTCAGATAGAAAAATATGCCATTTACAGAAAATACAACTTGAAATATGAAAACATGGAAAGCGACATTTACAAAATACACTAAACACTGGTCATAAAACGAGGCTAACTAATTTCAAAGGACCAAAATCACAGAGTATGTTCTCTGGAATTCAACTACAAATCAGTAACAGTAGGATAACAAGGAATTCCCCAACATTTGGAAATTAAACAGAATGCTCCTAAGTCAGAGAAGTTACCATAATGTGAATGAAAGAATGACAAACCAAAATGAAATAAACTAGGAGGAAAGAAATAAAGATAAAAGTAAAAATCAATTAAATAGCAATCAGACAACAGAGAAAAATCGGTAAGCCAAAAATTAGTTCCTTATAAAGGGTAATAATAGTAACAAACTCCTAACACGATTGATCAATGGGGACTAAAAAGGAGAAAATGCAAAACATCAATATCGGGATTCAAAGAGGGACATCGCTCTAAACCTTATGGGTATTAGGAAGATAAAGGGATATTATGATCATTTTACAATAAAGTCAGCAACTTATTAATGTGATAAACACCTCAAAAATGCAACTCAGAACTCTATTATTAAATATACTGAATTTATAATTAAAAATCTTCCAAAAACCTGAAGCCAAAGTAAACCCCAGGCCCAGGCAGCTTCACTGAGGAACTCTTCCAAACATGTAAACGAGAAACAGGAACAATCTCACACAAATTATATTTCTCTTTGAGGTTAGTAAAAGGCACTTGCCAGCGCACTTGGTGACAGCAGCATACGTGACCCCAAAGCCTAGCAAGGACAAACACAAAGTAAAAATGACAGGCAGGGTCACGACAACAGACAAGAATCTACAAGCTTACAAGGATGTGCTGTGGTACTTCGAGGATGGAGGCCCTGCACCCGCCCAGACGCCGTGGGAGCAGAAGCCCAGAAACAGCACACGCACCACCAGCAGCAGGCTTTCCACACAAGCTCCACTGCAGTTCAGTGGAGGGAGAATGCCTTCTCAGTATGTGGTGCCAGAGCAAGTGAACACTCACGCGGCGAGAAAAGGGACCCAGACCCCAACCTCCAACCATAATACGAAAACCAAATTACATCACATCACAGCCTTAAATGAATTAGGGAAAACAAAAGAGTTTATCTCCAGACCTGCAGGCTCCTTTGACAGGCTCCACGGCAGGTTAAAATGCAGACTGGTAAGCTGTGCTTTGGGAAGAAATGTGCAGTGCATGGCACCCACACGGGACTTGTATCCAGAACACAGGTGGAACCCCACAAATAAGAAAGAGAAATTACACAATTTAAAAATGGGGAGCCCTGACTGGGTGGCTCAGTTGGATGGAGCATCATCCTGTACACCAAAAGGTTGTGGCGAGTTCAATTCCCCATCAGGGCACATACCTAGGTTATGGACTCTATCCCCCACCAGGGTGTGTACAGGAGGTAACTGATTGATGTTTCTCTCACATCATTGTGTGTCTGTCTCTCTCCCTCTAAAAGCCATGAAAAAATGTCCTCAGGTGAGGATTAAGGGGGGAGCATTTAGCAGGCACTTCACAAGAGATAACCAAGTAGAGATATCCACCAGTGGAAATATTATTACTCATCAAAGTAATGCAAATGAACACCATGAGACACCACTCAACCCAACCAAGGGGCTAAAATCAGTCAGACAGACAATATCCAGTGTTGCTGAGGGCACTGGGGCCCCACATGCTGCCAGCAGGACCCCTAAGCAATACCCACAGACTTAACAAAGGCCACCAGATGCCTCCTAACCATCCATCCACTAAGACGTACCTGAGGACGAGCATAACCACCACTGCAGACGACTACAATATCGACCAACAGAAGGAATGAGCAATGTAGCACATTCATACAGAGAACACGACACCACAGTATACAAGATGCACACGCCACATGGCGGATCTCATCTCAGTTTGACCTGAGTGAGAGGCCAACTCCACCCCCCACAGGACCAAAGAGCTGCTCCATGCAGGGCAGGCTTGGAGGAAAGGACAGGAGGACAGACCTCATGGCTGGGCTCCAGACCAAGACTGGTACAGGCTCCAGTCCCTCTGGGGGTGTAGCTCAGATGTGTGCAGGGACGCCTCTCTCTGAGAGAGGGTTCCGGGAGTGTCCCTTGTGACCCAGCTTAGCTCTATTTTTCTATCTCCCACCCTTTGTCCAAACTGCTTACAACAGAGCAAGCACATCCCATCACACCCATGTCCTAACCTCTGGCCCCAGGAGGCCTTACTCTTTACTGAGGGTCCCTGTCTTCCTTGTCTGTCCTACTCCACCCCCAATCCCGGCTGCAGAGTCATCTCGGAAAAGCCTCCTAGGCCAAGAGTGCCAGCCCAGGGCCTGCGGAGGCTTTTGGGCAACAAAAACAAGACTCAGTAGGCACGTGACTTCATACTGTTTTCTTCACCTCTAAATGGAGGTGACAATTCCTATCTCAAACAACAGGGGCCAGTACACGTGGTAGAAGATCAGCACACGAATCAAGTTCAGGTTGGGGAGTACCCTGAAGGATGGAGCAGGGAGAGGGACACAGGCGTCTGGAAGACTGGCAGAGGACACAGACAAGGTAAGGAAGAGGTCTGTGGGCTAAGCAGAGAACATGAATGCCCAGAGGACAGGTGCAGCGCCCTGGGCGAGAGGCAAGTCTCCCTGCTTCCTCCCACCCACAGAGCACCCTGCAAACCCACTGCACCATAGCTGGTGCAGGGCAGCACCTGACCCAGGCTGGGTCCCTCAGATTCCCTTGAGGACCTGGGAACTGGCTCTGGCTGAATGTGCAAAAAGTTTCTTCTTGGCTAGAGTGAAGTTTTCATATCCTCTTCCCCCTGTCCCCACAATGATCCAGGCCCCCACTTACTCTTCTCACCAAGGCGGTTCAAGTGCAGGTTGCTGAGGTCAGCTTGGAATTGAGGCCCAACCATGATCTCCTGCAGAGGCAAAGGCCCAGCAAAGTCAGGGCAGGTGCGAGGCCCAGCCATGCCCAGAACCCAGAGCAGCGTTAAACTGTGCAATCTTCCCGCAGGTTCCAAGTCCTACGGTCTGAGAATGGGAGGCAGAGACCTGGGGATATGTGGGCATGTGAGCAACTGCGTGTCTCCACCTACTTGTCCGTCTGTTCAGTATAGCCAGTCATGTGACAAGGTGATGAGGCCTGAGGACCTGGTGTCCTGATGGCTAGCCCTGAGCATCAGGACAGGACCTTGGAGCCACATCCCTCGGTCAGCCGATGCCCCAGCAGCACAGGCTCAAGGTCCCGACACCAGTCTAGTCCCAGTGCAGCCCACCTCTCAGAAGCCATGCACTTGTCTCTGCAGAGGGCCACATACCTTCTTACACTTGTTGGCAGGAAGAGGGTCCTCCTCATTGTCAGACGAGGTGGAAGAGCACAGCTCTTTGTCTGTGCCAGTCAGGAAGCGGGCTTTGGGAAAAGGGGAGCAGGTGAGACACATCTTGGTACTGGGTGGCCTCCCAGGCTAGTGGATCCCAGGGTCTTCACTGCTGCAGCCCACTCTACACCCACCTGGCACACACCCCCCATTATGCCACTCCTGACAAGAAGCGTGTCCCAGGCCCTGACTGATAATAGGTTCGCAATGGACAAAGGAGTGGAAATGTGCGGATCACCAGCCATGAAGCCCCCACCACCTCATGCTGCCAGGACACTCCCCATATCTGACGGGCTTTTGGCTGCAGGAACCAGCACATTCCCTTCTCGTGTAAACCAGAGCCACTCATCCTCAGCTCACAGGCCAGAGAGACGGGGAACCCCAAAGAGGCTCGGATGGAGAACAGGGCACCCCTGAGGTGTGAGTGCCTGAGTTCTTTGCCCCCCAACAGCCCAGGGCCCCTCCGTCTGCATTGCTAGAGCCTTGCTCAACCCAGCCCAAGCCGAGAAACAGGCAGGACACCTACGTCCATTCTGGCTAGGGAAAAGGTCAGAGGTCTCGTGGGAGGTCACAGAGGGGGTGAGGTCATCGGCGGAGGACTGTGTCTCTTCTTCTTCTTCCCCTGAAAGCAAATCCTTCGCTATTTGTTCCTTTTAACAAAAAGTAAAGAACATTTTTGCAGTCTGTTTAACAAGCTTAAGATAACACTAACAATAACAACAGTGACACTAACTTGACAGACCTCTCTATGGGAGCCGCGAGGGCTCTAGTTCTTCCCACTTTGCAGATGAGCAGACCACACACCAGAGCAGGGCAGCCAGGGCACGAGCATGGATACCTGTGCTCTGCAAGCCCACACTCCAGCAGCCTGGAAAGGGACATCGCCTTCACCTGGCTGGGGACTGCTCTCTCTTCTTGGGCATTTGGTTTTCAACTTTGGCAATAAAGCCCTCCTCCTGGCACCACCCCTGAACCAGGCAGGACCCGGAGGGTCAGGACCTCCCTGGTTGTCCTTCCCAGCCGTGTTTCTCCAGGTCAGGACCCACTCTGCTCCTTCAGCCAGTGGTCAGGGTCTCTGTTGGAGCCCCCTCCCCGTGGCCACTCTACCGCTGGGTGGGTGGCCACAGCCACGGCCGGCTGCATCAGTATGGTTCAGGAACAGGAGAGTAGGGCCCTCTATGAAGTTGTCTAGGCCTCACACTTACTGACAGCACTTCTGCTTTTCCAAGGCCTTCATGTCTGTCCTCCCTAAAGCCTCCCGCCACTTCCAGGGAGAGACCCCTCTCACCTTGTCCAGAGTCATGTCCGGGAGGTTGGTTGTGGCATCGCTGCCCTCACTCTCCCGCTCTGAGATGGGGTCTGATGTCTCATAGCCATAGAGGGCAAGCAGCTCGTCAAGGGGCATGTCACTGCTCTGAGGGGGGACAGGGCTCTGTTAGGAGGGACTGTTTTAGGGGTTCTGTTCCCCCCTCCTACTGTCTGAGCCCCATCGGCCACCACAACCAGGGTGCTTGTCACATTCACAGCAAGTCTCCCCAGCCTGACCCCAAGCCCAGTCCTTGACCCAGTGACTCCCTTATGAGCCCCAGGAGAAGCACAGATGAGACACCAGAGCCCAGAGAGGTCAGGTATGTGCCCAAGGTCACCAGCCTTGATGGGTGGAGCTAGGACTGGCTCTCAATCCACGCTGCACTGCCCAGAATAGCTTCCCTGCTCAAACCAGTGCAGGCTTGATTCCAGGAAAGCAAGGATGGTGCACTATCTGGAAATCTATCACAACTCATGATATCAGTATATCAGGAGAGCAAAGACCTATGACTGGATAAATGTGGGAAAAGGCATCTGGTACAATCCAATGCCCACTCTGATTCTACAAAGTCCTCAGTACATTGAGTAAAGAGACGGGCGCTCCACCATTGCAGCAGAGGTGCTGTTGGTCAGCACCGGCTGGCCGACAACGCACGGCCAGAGCAACACCATCACTCTCAGAACAGAAAGGCAGGACTGGGAACACCAGAGCTACTCATACTGTTTTGACACTTCGAAACCATCCGATAGGCCCAGAAATGGGAATAAGGTATTTAATTATTGGGAAGAGACAAAAACTATCACTACCTTCCTCTCCAATACTGCTTTCAAATCACCATTTCTCACCCTCCTGTAGGCCTCTGCTCCTCTGAAGCTAGTGCCTTCTGACCACACTCTGTCCTGACCTCAGGGTCACGGTCAGCCTCTAGCCTCTCAAGCATTCTCTCATTCTCTCAGGAGCCAGCATCTGCCACCCCTCCCCCAACTCCTGCCCTCATGCGGGGACTTCCATCACTGAAGAAGACCAACCAGCCTTCTCCCAGCCCGTCCTCTCTCAAGGGACATCCTCCCCGCTCCCAGCCAAGTTCTCACATGATGACACAGGACTGAAAACACTCATTTTGCCCATCACAGTTTCTAATTATGCATTTGTCAGAGGGGTTCACATACTGGCCCAAAGATGCCTGGGTTCCCTGAGACCTTCACAACACTACAACACCATAGTCTTCCACTACACTGACACTTGCGCTAATGGAGCAGTCAATGGTCCGTGGACAGCGCCCTCTGTTGGAGGCAGGAGCACAAAGTGCATGAGTCCCCAATGCGCATTCCTTGCAGCCACACCCTGGTTTTTCTTTAGATTTTATTTATTTTTAGAGAGGGGAAGGGAAGGAGAAAGAGAGGGAATGATACATCAATGTGTGGTTACTCCTCAAACCCCGCCCCCCCACTGGGGACCTGGCCCGCAACCCAGGCATGTGCCCCAACAGGGAATCCAACAGGTGACCCTTTGGTTCGCAGGCCAGCACTCAATCCACTGAGCAACACCAGCCAGGGCCACACTCAGTTTTAAAAAGATGCCCGATTCACTTAAGAATATTCTGTATAAGATTACTGATTTTGTTAACTTATATCCTGTGCAGATGTCATTTTAACTTTCTGTGTGAGGAATCAGGAAGCATGTAGGAAGTGCTAGCCACATCCCAAAGTGAGGTGGTGACTGTTAAGAAACGCTCTTGTAACTGTAAAGTTGTGAGGTGAGCAAGCCGCCTTCGTCACGCAGCACCATCTTGAGTTAAATAAAATGGCGGGCAACCCTGGCTAAGTGGCTCAGTTGATGAGTGTCGTCCCCAAGTTGCAGGTTCGATCTCTAGTCAGGGCACAAACCTAAAGCAACCAATGAATGCATAATTAAGTGGAACAGCAAAAATCAACGTTTTTCTCTCTCTCTCCTCCTGCCCCACCCAAAATCAATCAATTAAAAATTTTTTTTAATGGTGGGCAGAAAACCATTGTCATCTGGTAACCAGGCAGACATGAAATAAGTGGCTGGTTAGTTTTAAAGACATGACTGACTGTGGTTGCTGTGGGGGTGAAACGAGCTTTTAAGCAAGAAATTCTAATTTTGGAAAACAGGAATCTGAGAATATGAACTTGTTAAGATTCCATAGCCTCTGGTAAGGTGATACAATATGGAAGGCTTGCTGCTTTATATAGGGTATTACAGTCTTTTTTTTCTTAGTGTTTAAGAAAATCTAGACCTAAATATTTAGCTAACAATTAGCTGATTTATGTTTCAGAGGTTTAAGAAGTTATAAATTCTTGTTGAACTTTTTTACATTGTTTTTTCTTTTTTGAAGAGAAGACATCTGTTTTGGTCATAAGACCAAATCGGCACCAGGCGATCCACGACAACGAGCTAAACAAATGCCCTGTGGTTAGCTCCTAAAAAGATTAAAAACAAATAAATAAACCCCAATACTTAAAAGGTATCCGGTAAGATCAGGGTTGATGCTGTTACAGACTAAATGTTTATGTACCACCCCCCCCAAATTCATATGCTGGATCCCTAATCCCCAACCTGACAGCCTGTATTGGGAAATGGGCATTTCATGGGTCACGAGGGTAGGGACCTGATCTCTGATCAATAAGGGAGCGCTCTCTCCTCCATGTACAGACCCCATAAAAGGGCAGCATCTGCACACCAGGAAGGGACCTCCCCACAAACAGTCCTATAAGACCTTGATCTGGGACTTTTGGCCTCTGGAACTGTGACAGAATAAATGCCTCGTGTGTAAGTACCCCTGGTCTATGAGATTGAAAAATGTGTGTTTTCAGATTTTATAGTATGAACTCTGTCATCATGTGGAAGATCTACATGTTGGGGAACCAGGGTTTTGCAAACATGTCACCAGTGCAGAGGTGACAAGATCACACCTGGGTTAAGATCCACACCAAGTTCAAGATCACTGGATTGCAATGTAACCAAGTACAGGAAGCTTACTAGATGTGGCTACAGAACCCACTCTGCAATCGCCCTTTACAAAATGACTAGTTGTGAATTTTGGTCTAGAATGAAAGAATAATGGTAACTCTCTGAAAAGGTTGTTAAATACTCCACCCTTTTTTCCATGACAGATCTGTATGAGGCCAGATTCACACTTCAATCAGAACACATGACAACACCAGCTGGATTCTCTTAGCTGTTCCTGCATTCACAGATTTACAAAACTGTAAAACTATTCCACTCTTGCCCTGACCTGGGTGTGGCTCAGTTGGTTGGGCACTGTCCTGCAAAGCAAAAGGTCACTGGTTTGATCCCCAGTCAGGGCACAGACAACCAACTGATGTTTCTTCACTCTCTTTCTCCCACCCTGCCCTTATCTCTAAAGATAAATAAAATAAAAAAATAAAAAAACAACTATTCCACTCTTCTCTAATTGTTTTGTTTTGTTTTAGAAGTTATTTTTTCATTTTCATAAAACTTCCAGCCCTGGCTGGTATAGCTCAGTAGATTGAGTGCTGGCTTGTGAACCAAAGGGTTGCTGGTTTGATTCCCAGTCAGGGCACATGCCTCCCAGTTGCGGGCCAGGTCCCCAGTTGGGAGAGTGAGAAAGGCAGTTGGTCACTGTTTCTCTTGCACATCATGGTTCTCTCCCTCTCTTTCTCTCTCTTTTCCCCTCTCTCTAAAAATAAATAATAAAATCTTTTAAAAATCTATTATTTTCATTAACAATTAACTTACTGTATATATACTGCATCAATAAAGTTGCTTGAGATCCTTGATAACTTTTAAGAGGATAAAGGGGTTCTGAGGCCAAAAAGTTTGAGAATGATAAGTCTAGCCACCCCTCTGGTCTACAGCCCTAGAGTCCCCTGAAGGCAAGTCCAGGTCTGGCCTATTCCCTGAGACCTCAGCTCCTAGCACAGGGCCTAGAGCTTCAAGAACAGATGTGCAAGCAGAACTTACTGTAGGATATGAGCAGCCTGCAGACCAATTTAACTAAAAGAACTGTGAGCTTGCCCAGCAGGGCTCTACCCACATGGAGCGAAGGGCTCAGCTCAGCCAAGTACCTGGGAGATGAAGTCTTTGTCCAGCTCTTCCTCAAGCGGCTCTGGGCGTCGCGCAGTCCCTTCACCCTCCTCCCGGATGCCGTAGTTCTGTGACAGGATCTCTGCGAGATTGAACTGCTGGTCTGCAGAGCCCATGGACACACCTACAGAGGGGACACCACCTGTGTGAGCTCTGCACCCCACCCATCCCCATCACTGCACTGAGACTGAACACAGCTAGGGTAGAGAAAGCAACAGTGGCCTAACTGCCACCAGGGACAAAGCCCACAACATGCGGCCACGTGTGCATACACGAAAGGCTGTGTGTGCATATATGTGTACATGGCACATGGGTGGCCACATGTGGGTTGTGTGTGTGGCTGTGGGTATATGTGTGCATGCATGCAGCTGTGTTGAGTCTGTGTAATGTGTGTGCGTACATATGTATATGCATGTGCACAGCTGTGTGCCTGAATACACGTGTTCACCTAAGTGTGCAGCTGTGTGCACACAAGTGTGTGTAAGTGTGCACATTATGACGCAGTGTCAGTACACGCTGGCGGTCAGCAATGTCTACCATGTGAGAACTCCCAATGGAAGGACTCCTGACAGAAGAGCACAACTGGCTAACTGCACACGAATTCTGGGCGTTTTAGGGATGTGTCTTCCTGGGGGACTCTTTAGTCTCCCTGACCACAGACACCTACACAGAAGGGTCCGGGGAGAGAGCAAGTGGACAAGGAAGAGATGAGCCCCAGGTGAGTCTGTTTGAACACAGCACCGGGACTTAGTGAAGCTGGCTGCACACCTGGTCCCTGGCACCTGCATGGCTTGAGCAAGGCCCTCGGCTCCAGAAACACAGGAGTGATGCTGTACACCCACCTCCATGAGTCACTGCAGGCACAGTGCAGGGATTAGGCCAAGGAACAGCACACAGTAGGCCCACCAAATGCCCGTCCCTTCTTCTCCCTCAGCAGGGCAACAGCAGTGTCCCATGCACAGCCCACTGAGTAGTAGATATTATATCAGATTTTGGTTTTTTCCAAAAAAGTCACGATGTGCTCACTGCTCTCTCTCCATGACTGGTCTGTGTAAGTTGAAATTTTTTAAAGATTTTACTTATTTTTGGAGAGAAGGGAAGAGAAGGAGAAAGGGGGGGTGGATAAAAAACATTAATGTAAGAAAAAAACATCAATCATGGCCTCTCACATGAGCCCTGACTGAGGACCAGGCCCGCAACCCAGGCATGTGCCCCAACCAGGAATCAAAATGGCAACCTTTTGCTTTGCAGAATGATGCCCAACCAAATGAGCCATGCTGGCCAGGGCAGTAAGTTGAATTTTAAAAGAAACAAACAAACAAAATAGTTCAGTCTCAATCAACCCAAGCTAGGAAGCCATGAAGGAGAAGGCTGGCCCCTCCACGTGGGTCCAAAGCACCCAGCAGCAGGAGGAATTGCAGGGGCCAAGTGGAAAGAGGCAAGCGACCAGCTCAGGGAAGGTGCAGGCACCTAGGAATGGTGCCCACACAGCACCCATTCCACCTCCACAGCCCCTATTTTTCCTTCGGCCTCAGCACAGACACCAGCAGGAACCCCAGCCCCACCCCTGGCTGAGGCACTCTGGTCCTCCCCTAGAATAAGAAACAGGACTCTGACCACTGTCTCCGCACACGTGCCCCTGGACTCTGGGGGGCCAGTATGCCACCTCCGTCTTGCCAGGCAGAGCAAGGTTCTATCTCTTACAACTGCAGTGGCCCTGACAGCCCTGGGCAGGAGGGAGGTAGGGCAAGGAGGCACCTGCTGTTGTAGGCAATCCAGGCTCCCCAGTGCACAGGCTATGAGTGAGGCAGGAGACCACTTGAGGGCTCTGCCTCTCCAGTGAGGAGGCCTGCAAAAGAAGACAAGGGTTATTTAGCTCAGCCAGCCCAGAACCCACCAAGAGTACAGCACAGTACTCTAAGCACAGTCAGAGCCTGGTTCCCCGGGTGGCTTCAGGAAGTGGACTCATCTGGATTCCAGCGGTGATGCGTAAGAGCTGCCTCCAAGGTTTGAGAAGGGAGCACCAGGCATGCGGCAGCTAGAAAAGTTACTCCCCTGTTCCTAGGTCAAGCACCCAGAGAAGGCACAGATGCAGGTTTACACATCAGCTCCAACAACCTTGGAACCTCAATGTCCTCATCTCCAAGTGGCAAAACAGCACTCACAGGGACTGCGACGAGTCTGGCACAGCCAGGAGCCGAAGGTACCCCAGGCCTGCACACAACCCTGCTGCACACATCCAACAGATGTTCACTGATAGCCATGCCCAACACAACAGCCCATTTCACAAGGGTCCCAGCCTTCAAAAGACAAGATAGCCACTTTAGGGAAATCTGGTAAGTCCTCCAAAAGTAAACATAGAATTATCAAATAACCCAGCATTTAATTCTACTCCTAAGTACATACCCAAGAGAACTGCAAATATACATCCACACTAAATGTGCACAGCAGCAGGATTCACAAAGGCCAGATGGTAAAACCACCTAGGAGTCCTTCAGCAGATGACTGGATAAACAAGAGGCTACCCATTCGCACACTGGAATATTGCTTAGCCGTGAAAAGAAGTGAACACTGACACATGGATAAACCCTGAAAACTATGACTGTCCAACACAGCCCTGGAAGTTCTATTCTGGGGAAGAAAATGGAATAAAAGGAACCCAAAATGCAAAGGAAAAAGTGAAACTATTCCTTTTTGCAGATGAAGTAATCTTTGCAACTTCGTAAGTTGAAATTTTATTAAAGATTTTATTTACTTATTTTTTAGAGAGAAGGGAAGGGAGGAAGAAAGGGGGAGAGAAACATCGATGTAAGAGAGAAACACTGATCAGCCGCTTCTCATATGCACCCCAACTGGGGACCAGGCCCGCAACCCAGGCATGTGCCCCAACCAGGAATCAAAATGGCAACCTTTTGCTTTGCAGAATGAGGCCCAACCAAATGAGCCACGCAGGGTTCAATCTCTGGTCTGGGTGCACGCGATCCCTGATATGGACCACACAGTCCCCGATCCACATGCACGTACAGGAGGCAACCAATCAATGCTTCTCTGTCACATTGATATTTCTCTCTCTCCCTTCCTCTCAGTCTAGAAAGCAATGAAAAAATGTCTTCAGTAAGGAAAAATATATATTTATATATACATATCTGAACTCCTAACTGAGTTCAGCAAGGTAGCAGAATACAAGGTCAACATACAAAAATCAATTTTATTCCCATATACCAGAAATTGACAACCCCGCCAAAAATTAAGAAAACAATTCCAGGAGAATGAAGATGGAAGCACAGGTAAACATGCCTCATCTCCTTGCACAACCACAGCAAAAATTACAACCAGACTACAAAACAAGTATCACCCACAATTATCAGGAAATCGAGCTGTATAAAAGTCCGACAACCAAGGATTTAAAGAAGCCACATTCATCCAGACAAGGAGGGGCAGAGAGGTGAGGAGAGGCACGGAGAGGTGCAGAGATACCGAACAGGTGGGACCACATACACGCGTGGTGGGTAAACATCAGCAGGGATACCTTGTGAGTGAGAGACCCCAGCCTCAGACCAGATCACTCAGCCCAGGGTTCCGGTACCAGGAAGATAAGTCCCCACAACTTCTAGCTGTAAAAACCAGTAGGGATAGAGGTGGCAGAAAAAACTTCGAGATTCTTAAGAGATTCCTCTTAAAGGGCCCGCAACAGACTTATGACTCACACAGACCTACCCCATCTGGGATTTGGCACCAGGGCACCAGTGACATACGGGGAGAAAGTGAAGAGACTGGCAAGGCAAGTGCTGGGAGACAGCTTCTCCACGGACAAAACTCCAGAGACCAGCCAGCAGCACTGTCCCCTCTGTGGGCCCTCCCCCACACAGAGCCACAGAGAGGTGACATGGGTGGCCTCACCCTGGCAATTACCTAAGGCTCTGCCCCATACAACTTACAGGTGTGCTCTTCTACAATAGGCCACGCTACTAAGACAGAGAATCAAAGCAGCTGCAAACCAAAAAGTTTCCCATTCAATTCCCAGTCAGGGCACATGCCTGGGTTGCGGGCCAGGTCCCCAGTGGGGGACGCATGAGAGGCAACCACACATTGATGTTTCTCTCCCACTCTGTCTCCCTCCCTTCCCCTCTCTCTAAAAATGAATAAATAAAACCTTTAAAGAAGAAAACTCCAGAAAACAAATTAAACAAAATGGAGATAAACAACCTATCAGGTGCAGAGTTCAAAACACTAGTTATCAGCATGCTCAAAAAACTCACTGGGTGCTGCAAAAGCATAAAAAAGACGCAGGCAGAAATGATGATTACATTAAGTGAAATTTTAAAAATCTACAGGTAGGAGATGAAGCTGGGAATCAAATTAATGATTTGGAATGCAAGGAAGAAGCATTTAAGAAGAAAAAATAATTTTTAAGAAATGAGTAGAGGCTAAGGAGTCTCCGGGACACCTTTAAATGTACCAACACCCCAATCACAGGGGTGCGAGAAGAGGAAGAACAAGAAATTTAAAACTTATTTTAAAAAATAATGAAAGAAACTTCCCTAATTTTGTGAAGGAAATAGACACACAAGTCCAGGAAGCACAGAGAGTCCCAAACAAGGTGAACCCAAAGAGGGACACACCAGGACACATCATAGTTAAAATGCCAAAGGTTAAAGATAAGCAGAATCTTAAAAGCAGCAAGAGAAAAGCAGATAGTTACCCACAAAAAAAAAGTTCCCATAAGACTGTCAGCTGATTTCTCAAAAGTAACTTTTCAGGCTAGAAGGGACTGGCAAGAAATATTCAAAGTGATGAAAAGCAAGGACCTACAACCCAGATTATTCTATCCAGCTATTCTATTATCAGTTATCATTTAGAATTGAAAGGCAGATAAAGTGCTTCCCAGACAAGTAAGCTAAAGGAGTTTGTCATCACCAAGCCATTATTACATGAAATGCTAAAGGGAATTATTTATGAAAAAGATCAAACCAATGCACATTAAAATGGCAATAAATTCACAACGGCCAATAATTGAATCTGAATAACAAACTAAGCAAACAAGCAGAATAGGAACAGAATCATAGATATGGAGATCATTTGGAGGGTTATCAGCAGGGAGGAGAAAGAAAAAGGGAAAATGTGCAGGGATTAAGAAGCACAAATTGGTAGGTACAAAATAGACAGGGGAATGTTAAGAAAAGTACAGGAAATGGAGTAGCCAAAGAACTTATCTGCATGACCCATGGACATGAACTAAGGAGGTTACTGCTGGAGGAAATGGGGATACTGGGCAGAAAGGGGCAAAGGAGGAAAAATTAGGATAACTGTAATAGCATGATCAATAGTTTTATTTCTCAAAAAAATAAAAACAATCCCATTTATAACAGCATCAAAAAGAATAAAACACTCAGGAATAAATTTGGCAAAAGAAGTTCAAAACTTATACTCTAACAAAGTGCAAAACAGGATAAAAATAATTAATTAAAAAATAACAACTGCAAAACATGTTGAAAGGAATTAAAAACCTAAATAAGTAGAAAGACATCCTATATTCGTGGCTTAGAAGACTTAATACTGTTAAGATGTTAATACTCCTCAGCTGACAGACAGACTCAATACAGTGCCTATCAGAATCTCAGCTGGCTTCTACGCAGACACTGACAGACAGGTTCCAAAGACATTGATATGAAAACTCAAGGGGCCCAGCATAGCCAAAATAATCTTAAACAAGAACACTTCCTGGTTTCAAAATCAATACAAAGCTACAGTAATCAAAACAGTGTGGTACTGGCATAAGGCTAGGCATTTAAATCAAAGAAATAGAATTGGAAATCCAAAAATAAACCCATACATTTACAATCAATTGAATTTTGGCAAAGAGAAAAAATTCAATGAGGAATAAATAGTCTTTTCAATAATAATACTAGGACAAGTGGATATTCACATGAAAAAGAATAAAGCTGAACATCTATCTCATACCATATACAAAAATTAACTTAAAAATTATCAAAGACCTTAACTATAAGAACTAAAGCTATAAAACTCTTAGAAGGAAGTTAGGGATAAACCTTTGTCACACTGGACTAGATGATGGTTTCTGAGATGAGACACCAAAAGCACAAGCAACAAAAGAAAAACCAGATAAACTGGACTTCGTCAAAATAAAAAAGGTAAACATCAACAAGATCAACAAGGTGAAAAGACAACCCACAGGACGGGAAAAGATATTTGCAAACCATATAGCAGAAAAAGGACTTGCACCTAGAATATATAAAGAATTCTTACAATGCATTAATAATAAGATAACCCAATCTCAAAATAGGCAAAGAATCCGAACAGACATTTCTCCAGAGATGCACAAATGGCCAGCCAATAAGCATATGAAAAAATGCTCAATATCAAGTGAAATCTAACCAAAAACACAAATAACACTTTGTAAACACAGAATGAATATGACCATGACCAAAAAGACATAACAAGTGTGCCAGGAAGAACACGGACAATCCAGGTGGGAATGTAAGATGGCACAGCCACTTTGGGATGGAGCAGTTCACTCCTGGGCATGCATACACTGAAGGGGTTCAGAGTAGGCCACTCCAAAATACACCACTGTGGCATAAGGATTATTTCAAGCTGAAGGTAACTGAGAAAACCCGACACAGGTTGAGCTCTCTGCCCCTATCTGCCTGAAAGCAAAGGATAAACTCCTATGAGGGTGCCCCCAAATCAGGAAGGAAGCCCCCTTATCACTGAAGGCAAGAAGGCACCGAGAGTCTGCACGCACAGACCTTCCTACCTCACCTGATCTTTCACAAATTCCCCCGTGTTTACCTTCCCA